ACGCTGACTGCAGCTCTGTCGGTCTTCAAGGTTTAATCTACGAGACAGGAAGTAGTTACCGAGCAGAAGCCCTACCCAGCACAGAGCTTCCTGTGGCGTTGATCAGATCTCGCTGTGATTTAGTGTTTGAGACTTGCTTACTCTCACTGAAGCCCTCTGGGAAGAGAAACGGCTTTCAAGGCTGGCTCTAGAAGCCTGATAATTAAGTTATTTCAGCATTATGCATGGAAATATACATTATTTATGAGCTTTTAGTATTCTACAATTAATATTTGTCTAAACTGCTCCCTGTGAATATTTTAAGTATTTGTGCTTCTTGAATATGCAACAGACATCAGATCGCTGGCAGTCATTTTAATAATCATTTACAGTGTGTTGTTCACGTGAATATTTCCATCGAATGTTGAGGTAATAATACAGACGATTGTCTTGATTTTACAGGGATCCAGTCTGTGACTAAAACAGTTACTTGCAAGTGATCTAAATTATATAGAATTTAATAGGCGACAATATTAATGTAATGATTAAAATTTTTAGTTTCACATTTTCTTTAATGTTTGTTTAATGTGAACTGACGGACAGAGACGGCTTGAGAATGATCATGTCACGTCAAATGTACCCCAGAAAAGCCATCTAAGTGTTTTTTAATTGTAATGTTCACAAATGTAATTTCCCTAAAGAAGAAGGCTGCGTACACAACGGTGTCGGACAGGAAATGCATTTGTCATTTGCAGTGTTTCTTCTTCCTGGACGAATGTGTGTGTGTGTGTGTTCACGGGTCACAACACACCCCTCTCTCTGCAGCACTGGAGGTCTCCCGCACCGTTTAATGCGTCCTATTACTTAGCACGGATTCATTCTGGTCCAGCATTACGTCATCTGCTGGCAGGCTGTATTTTTAGCCAAGAAATGCAATTGGCCGAGAGCTAATTAAATTACAGCCCTCCATTTAGGCTGTTAGATGGATAGTCAATGAAGGGCCGTTCTCCCAGCACTCCCGTCTCACTGGGGATCCTCTGGAAAAAGTGTGTGTTTGAATCTATGAGCGTGTTTATTCCATAGCTTGCGCATTGACAACGTAATGACTCATGTGGATGTCGGTCAAAGATGAAATCATACTAGTCCCAAAAATGGACTGGCATCATTTCATTGAAATTCATCAGGGAGGTTTGGTACAAGCTTGGCCGGAGACTGTAGGGGTCGAGCCACACACACACACACACACACACACACACACGCACACTCTGAATCGCCAGCTGCTGGCTCCACCCTTAAAGGGAGCGTCTGCATCTGGCTTTATTGCCGTCACAGGAAGGAAAGACACTATTTAACACATTTAATTTATAGATTTTAATAGTATCAGCGCAATAACATTTATCCAAGTACTTCTGAGATTATTTTTGTATATTTGTGACCGAAATAATGATACTGTGGTTGAACAGCTGCTCTCTCTGGGTCATAACGCAGGTTTTGTCAAATGGTTAACAGACGCATGCGAATCATTGTCATGTAGGAACGACATCACGTTGGTGTTGGAAGCAAGATTACGATCTTTTAACTTCAGAATGATTGTAGACTGTGATTGAGACTTGAACATGTTGTCTTGTGTTGGGTTGTCATGGAGACGGACGCCGCGGTCGTCGAGGGAGCGAGATGTGGTCATTGAGACGGGGCCGGTGTGACTGTGAAGAGACTCGGCCTGTAGGGTGTGGAGGAGAAAAACTGAGTCAGTGCGTTTCTGTCGGAAGAAAGATGATCACAGCTGTGACAGAGGTGGACATAAGAGTTGAGAAATGGATCAGATCAGCACATTCATTGTTTTGTCCTGATAAAATAAGAAACTTCTATTCAATTTTAAAAAACAAACTTTATCACAGTGTCTTTAGTTTGTTCTGTTTTTAGAAATAAACATATTGGCTCATAATCCTTTCAAAAAAAAATTGTCATCAAAAAAATGGTAAACCTGAACTTGTGTTTTATACTTATTAAACATATTAAATTTTAATCATATCAGAAAGCAAAAGAAAACTCAATCTTCTAAAATTTCAAACTTTTAATCCCATGGGTCCTCGAAATCCTTGAAAGTTTGTGAATCTGAAAAAAACAAAAAACTTTCAAGTCAAAATACACATCGAGGTTCTTGAAAGCACAAGTTTTGAAGTTTTCGAGAAAAAAATCTATTTTATTTCCTCCAGTCTGCTAATGCGTTATTTCGCCATCACTTCGTGGCCTATGCACACTAACGTTAGCTTCCTTGATTTATGTTAGTTATGCTCATTACGTTAAGTGTTTCCCACGTGAGGTACTTTGTGTTGCACGTTGCCATGACATTCACATGCGCAAACTCAACTGCAGCAATGTACATACTTGCAAGATAACACGATGTAACCTTGAAATGAAATGTGAAATCTGTCCCCACGTTAAGTCCTTGAATTTGAGTCCTTGAGTGTTTGCTAGCGCTGTCACTTTACGTTCAAAAATCGATTGCACAATTGATCAGACCAACCAGCACAAGTTTCATAAACGAAAATAGGGACTCGATTTTAACAGCATTTTTTTTTTTTTTTACAAAAAATGTGTGTTAGGTGGACCGATCAATACAGCACACAGAACATGTCGGATGCTGGAAAATAACAATGTCTTTTCTGTTCACCAAATGCTTTTAATATTCGCTGTTACTGCAATGCAAGTGAACAAGCGCGCCATTATTTGCTGCGTAGTGACGTGTGTGTGTTCAAGTAAGCCAGAAAAGCACAGATTCTGCGATACGCTGTATTTAATATATCATGAGGATCACGAGTTGCGTATTTGCGCTAAAGCCGCTCAGATTTGTCTTAAACGAACTTCCCAGCAAAGAGAGTGAACATAGAAACACGGCAGATTGGCTCGTGATTGGACAACGTTTCCCGCCAAAGTTCAGTTTTACCCGCATTTGGTGAGTCGAGTGTTAATCTCAATCCAATATATATTGGCGTGTTTCAAAAAATACAACATTTTGCACTCCTGTTTGTCATTGTGCTGAAATTTCACACCAATAAATCCTCAGAAATATTGCTGACTTGTGCGTCTCAAGCGCCCTCGTTACGCTCGTCCTAACGCCTGTTAGGTGTCCCGTGGATTTGCCTGTATTTGGTGTTGAAAATGGAAACGTCTTTAGATGGAAAATAGGTTTTACAATCGATTCAATGGACACTTATGACTCAAACATCTAACAGGAGTTAACCGAGGTGTGGGAACCCTGTACTAACTAACAGTATATAGTCACACAAAAAAGGGAGAAACTGGATATCGGGCTGCTGAGTGGAAACCGGTTTCTTTTGTCTGCTCGCGTGCGTACCTGTCTACTGACGTCACTGATGGAGAGGAGACTCCGGTACAGGAGACGGTCACTCGAGGCCCAGGACAATGTGATTGTGTAAAAGATCGCAATTTAATTGAATCTAATGAATTATGAATCGCATCGTGAAATTTGTCAATACCTTCCCAGCCCTGATAATTATCGTGTCACATTAGCATTCGTGTATTTAGATGCTGTCAAGGTTTTTCATCCATAAATATCGATAACTGTTTCATTTTTCCACAGTATGGATGTGGCAGTAGCAGCTCTCCACCTCTCCAACACGCATCATTTTTGTATTCGTCCGTTTTAGGGCTGAGTCTCGATTCAGATGTCCCGATTCATACGATCTCAATTCGATTCTCGATTATCGATTTAATTCACTGATTTCAGTGATTGCATTTTCACTGGCCCCACCACAAAGAAAAGCAATACATGAAGAAAATAGTTATTGTTTTTGTGCTTTTTATTTTTTACCCATGTATAGGCTACTTGTATTATAATAAATAAGGTTATGAAACCCACAATTTTAGAGACCAGTGACAAGAACTAAAAGAACTAATAATTAAACTACAAGCAATAATACAAATAAATAAATACAATAGAATAAAGATACAAATGAAATAATCAGTGCTTTTGAGGTTTTTCAAAGTAAGTCTAACCAGTTCTCAGGTACAGAAATTGAATAAAGAAATCAAATGTAAAATTAATTAACACTGCATATAATCTTTATTTAGTGAACAGCAGGGAGTGAGTTCTTTGTCTTTTGTCGTTAGATTAAGATCTATATTAGTACATGCAATCTTTCTCCACTGTTTGCTTAAGCCAGACCCGACTGTGTTTACTGGGACACTCTCGAAGGTGGGCATATTGAGATACGTTTGTGTGAATCTGTCTAAGCGAGGGAGATATGAAAGAGAATTAATCAGGCAGCTGTGCACGCTTCTGGTGTGTGCACACTTTCTTAACCGTGTTGTGACAATAAGGTGATTTGATTTGTAGTTTTCCACCAAAACAAAAGCATAAGGTTGTAACTCTTGCAGAGTTTCAGTTAATAAGCTAATACGTCGACTAGGGTCAAGTCTAAATTAACTGTTCAAATATGACAATGATTTCAATATTTTTCAAGGTCTTGTATGGAAGTTAGAAATTCCAGTCCTATGGCAACACTAGTGTTTTTATAAAACTGGACTAAGTGGCGTGTTCAATGTGTCCCCTGATAAGTATGAATCGGATTCTTCTTCTGTCGCTCCACAGACGCCCTCAGCTCGAGCTGTTTGTTTGTCTGTTTGAGGAAAAGCTGGTTTAGAGTATCCGACTCCGATTACAATGTGAATCTGGAACAAAGAGAAAGGGCTGACCCTGATCTCCTCACACACACACACATACACTTCCCAGCGTTTCACCTCCAACCGCTCCTATTTTCGGCCTGTGTGCGACGAATCTTTCGTCCGGGCCAGAACGCAAGCCTCCACTTTGGCAAGTGCAGTTTCACACAAACACATCTGACACTTAACCATGCTTCTCTTTAGGCGACCTCTCTTTCAACTCTACTGCATCGCTGGATCTGCAGGCCAGTTTTAGCTTGGCTACTTTTCATCCCGAGTGTTTATCAGTGTAATTCCTAACCTTGTCACATTTCTCTCTCTCTATCTCTACGCAGACGTGAAGAAGGACTGGTCAGATCACGCCCTGTGGTGGGAGAAGAAGAAGACCTGGCTGCTGAAGACCCATTGGACGCTGGATAAATACGGCATTCAGGCCGACGCCAGGCTTCTCTTCACCCCACAACACAAGCTTCTGCGACTTCAGCTTCCCAACATGAAGCACATGAGGGTGAAAGTCAACTTCTCTGACCGTGTCTTCAAGGCCGTGTCCGACATCTGCAAAACCTTCAGTGAGTGCCTTCCCTAAAATAAACTCCATTAGCCTGGCTCAATATTCCCACTGGTCGTGGAGAACAACACGTCATGATTATTGTGTTATTTTGATATACATTAGAGCGCATTCAGCCTTTAATGCTGAGAATAGATGTAGGCTTTGGATGGAGAGAATACAGTGGCACTTTGAAGGCCCCGTGAAATGGATTGAAAACACATTTGTTTTCATGTGTCGATGTATTTTCTCTACCTCTCCAAGGGCTTGTGTTTGTAAGTAACCAGTAGGGGTGGGAATCTGTAGGCACCTCACGATTCGATTATGATTCAGAGGGCTGCGATTCGATGCTAAAGCGATTATCTGAATCTTTGTGTGTTTATGTGTGTGACCATAAATACTTTGCTTTAAAGGGATACTCCACTTTTTTTTGGAAATAGGCTTATTTTACCACTCCCCCAGAGTTAAACAGTTGAGTTTTACCGTTTTCGAATCCATTCAGCCGATTTTCTGATATTTAATAGAATATCAGTAACCCAGACAGTTTCTGGTCTCATTGACTTCCATAGTATATATTTTTTCCTACTATGGAAGTCAATGAGACCAGAAACTGTCTGGTTACTGACATTCTATTAAATATCAGAAAATCTATTAAATGGATTTAAAATTGGTTAAACTCAACTGTTTAACTCTGGGGGAGTGGTAAAATTAGCCTATTTCCAAAAAAAAAGTGGAGTATCCCTTTAAAAGTACAAAGTAATGACCCATAAATAATTAACATAGGATATATTTTATTAAAGGGTTAGTTCACCCAAAAATGAGAATGAAGTCATTAATTACTCACCCCCATGCTGTACCAACCCCGTAAGACCTTCGTTCATCTTCGGAACACAAATGAAGACATTTTTGATTAAATTTGAGAGGTGGATCACTGCTACATTGGCTCCTAAGAGATTGAAACTTGACGACCCAGAAAGTCATTGAAGAAAATGTTTAAATATGCCATGTGACAACAGTGGCTCAACTATAAGTTTATCAAGCAACGAGACTACTTTTTGTGCGAAAAAACTAGGGCTGTAGTCAACCAAAGAAATCCTTAGTCGACCAAAGTCTTGTCTTGCGCAACGATTAGTCGACTAAAAATGTTTTGATTAAACATTTTTTAAACAATTTTCATTGAGCATTTATAAAACAACAACGAAAAAAAATCACAAATAAATAAAACTATAATAATAATACAATTCTTTGAAAATTAAGTGATTTTTTTTAACTGCAAAAAGTGAAGAGCTCTGTCCTGGGTCTATAACAGTCACAATCGCGCACCTGACCACACCACACGCTGCAAAAAAATATAACTGCTATCTGCCACATAATGAAAAATCCCAACAAAAGCTCTCGTTTATACAGGCTTTATATTCTTCTTTACTTTCAAAGCTATTGGTTAACTTTCGTCCTGACCATAGACTGAAAAAAATATGGACGTAGTGTCTGTGACGTCACCCATAGGTTTCTGAAGAGCGTTTTTGAAGACTAAAGTGGGCGGGGCTGGCCGTCGCCATCTTGGCAGTGCGTCACCTCTCGTCACTACCGGATAAATTAAAATGGGCAAAGAGGCGGGACGCGGGTGGAGCTGAGGTGCTAATGCTATGCTACTGCCGCTGAATTGACAGCTGATTGAAAAAGTAAAGCCAATGGTTAAAGTTCATGTTTTGCCCTTCGAAATATTATAATAGTTAAGACGTAACTAAAAGTGAGACTATTTACTTTACTTTTTTATCAACTTTATTAATCTCACAAGGGGCAATTAGTTAAGAGCATGTATACAAGTACTGTACATAACACAGATCAAACACATTTCTCACAACAAGCAGTCAACTATGTGCATCGTGATGCATTATTATTCTGCTAATTAAAAATGTATTAGTTACTTACAATATTGCTCTAAACTTGTGCATGACAGTGATTCAAGGCAAGCACACATGTCAGTCGGCATCTCACGTCAAGTTCGTAAAGAGCTTTAATTCAGTCCATTTTACAATCCGATTTTGGCCGCCTCTCAGTTTCTCAGATGGGTCAAACCAAAGATATTACCTCAGAACTTCAAGTAAATGAACTAGAAATCCGAGCTCATTCAAGGGTGTGCATCTATTGCATGGACGGAGAGAAAGCGCTGAAATCATCAGACATCCATTAGTGCACGCGAGGGAAACAGCTGGAAACACGGCGCTGGTCGATCTCTCCATACTCAACACGACGGAATCCAACGGCGTGCACGGGCGAAGGTATAATACATGTATTAAATTGTATGAAATAATCCCGGAAAAAGCACAAACACAGCTGAGGGTGACGCTAACAGACAGCAGACAAACTACTAGCAGTGAAAGCGGCCGCAAGAATCCACCTGTCACTCAAGTGGCCACGCCCTTAATTATGCAGAACTTCAAGGCTAAAATATAATTTAAACAGATGAGTTGTAAAAAAATTCACCCCCCTCACAGTTGTCATGAAGGGAAAAATCAGCTCTATAGACCAAAGCCACTTTTTGCTCCAGGCTGTAAACATGTTTTTTTCTGCTGTAAAGTTGGGCATTTTAACATGGGGGAGATACAGATTTGACTCGCTTCTGCAGCCTGCCTCAAGCGGCCACTCGATAAATTGCAGTTTAATTCACTTCCGTATTGGCTTCAAGAGAGAGACGGGGAGGTTGCCGCTTGGTCCTGACGAACAAGGCGTTTTAAAACAACACACAAAAAACCCAAATAGCCTAAAAACAATCCTAATAATAGGACTGCGTATAGGTTTATTTTCGTTTTGTTCCATTATTTAGGCTATTTTCAAATGTGTCAAGTGTACAAAGAAAAACGAAAACATTAAGAAAACACAATCTATTGAGTTAGCATGATATAGACGTTAAAGGGCTGCTCACGTCTTTTGCGCGCTCAAGTTCGATTTCAAATGTAGGCGCGCGACTTGCGCGCTCATAATGGAGCAACGCGATCGCCTCCCTCCACAGTCTTGTCTTTGTTTTAAAATGCAGGCAGACAAAAGATTTCGATTTCCTGGACATTTTGTCGACTAAAGCCAAAACAAGCCGCGTTCTAACTGAATGAATACAGCATCCCTTACCGAGCGCGAGCAGCAGCGCAGCCGGCCACAGGTGCGGTTCCCGAGTGTATTATGTGTGTGCGCTAAACTGTGGCGCAGTTACAAAAATAGCCTAAATTAAAGCATTTTAAAGCATTTTTTTAAATTATATTTATAATACAGTAATAAATAACTGCTTACAAAGGAATAAATATCAAGGAGTAAATCATTGAAAAATTCTTTCTATTGGTAAAAAAAAAAATGCAACTGGTCGACCAATAAGAATGTCAGTCGACCAAGACGGCGTCGAGCTAAACGACTAAAGTTGACAGCCCTAGAAAAAACAAACAAAAATAACGACTTTATTCGACTATTCCTTTTCTTCCTTATAGGCCTCTGGTGTATCACGGCTCTAGCGTCGAGGCAATCATGCCACAGCTCTGGTATCTGATAAATGAACCACATTTCTGGCTCTTGATTATTTGTTAAACACACTGAGCTGCCATGATTGCTCTTTCTTAGCATTACTCAGACCCAGCACGTCCTTGAACCGCTCCAAATCTTGTTTTTACAAACGATTCTTATCAATGGAACTGGCAGTGTAACTTTTGTTGTGTCCATTTATGGAAAACAAGGCCTTATGAGCAATTCAAGGTTGAATCCTCTCGCTTTCAATATCTGCAGAAAAAGTCTTTTGCCCAGGAAACAAGTTTGATGACCTCATCTCTCTAATTGATTTCAATTGATCTCTCTCTCTCTCTCTCACACACACTCACACACACAAAATTGCATGAAATGTTTATTATTACTTGAATACTACATTGCTAGAAACAAATGGGAGAATATACAAACAAAACAACAACAAAGAATTAAAGGGCTCATTAACCGGCTTTTTAAATTTTATTATATTGTTTTCTGAGGTGAACTTATGACGTTCGCTTGGTTTTTGCATTCAAAAACATCAAAATGAATAACTAATAAGCTATTTTCTACCCTAGTTTTGAGCCAAGCTCAGAAACGCTCGGTGCATCTCGCACTGAAGACTTGAGTGGACAACAGTTTTGCATATTATAATGAGTTTCAACTCACCCATCGGTGCACTTGGGGAAAATTGTTTTGAAAACGTCCAATGTTGTAAAATGGCAACCGGAATGATTCGCTCATACATGTTCGACCCAGAGTCCGTGTGTTGCACCATTCCTGTCAGATCCAATACAGAAGGCACGGCACCGTTCTTTACTCTTAATCTGTCTGCAAATCCAGTCTTGTTTACAAAACAATCCTCAGTGAAATGAAGCGAACAGACAGACGGACGATGTTTTACCTCATCTGCTGAAACGTCATTAAAAATAAAGTTTATCCACTCAGTCCTATTGGAGTCCAGAGGAAGCTTATGCAGCGACTGTCTTGCACAACCAGGCGCTGCACAATATTCTGTATTGCTCGGTAGCTCGATCCGGTTTGTCATCACGAGGTAGGCATCTATGTTATTTAGCTATGCGTGAAATGCGTTAATCGGTGGGCGGGGCTAAACCGGCCGTGTTGAAGTAGGCGTTGATCTTCTTCTGCGGGGGTGGTGTTTTATCCTCTTTGACGTTATAGTTCCCCACTTTGAAAAACGAGTCGTTTGCTGAGGCTGGTGTCAATAAAAGCTTTTATTGGACAAACAAGGACGTTTTCAGGTCTGAAACTTACAGGATATTCTTATAATATGATGACCTCTTAGATTTCAAAAGCTCAAGGAAAATTTGATTTCTCAGTTCATCACCCCTTTAATATATATAATAGGGATTATAAGGAATTTAATGATTCCGATTTTTATTCCGCTTAAGAATTATAGGTCCTTAATGGTTCCATTGAGTATTTAAAGAGCCCCTCTCATGGATTTTTGAAAATGACTGTTCATATGGTGTGGAATATACTGTAGCTCTAAGGGAA